CCTAAACCCTAAACCCTCTATACACCCCCAGCTGAGGCCAACCTTGGCCAATTCGTGGAGATAGGCCAAGGCCAGGCTTTCCAACGGGAGCAGATGCAGTGGGCGCGCCCGGGGGCTCGGAAGACAACTCCTGATCCATATGGTGTAGACTATAGGGGCATCCATTTTTTTTTGAATTTTTTTATTTGTTGGTTACCATACCCAATATAATAACCAAAAAGTATGATTTTTAGTGGGGTTCTGAGGCCAGTTTAGTAGAGGGTCGAGGGGGTTTAGGGGTTGTAAGGTGTTTGGGGGCTATAGAGGATTTATAGTGTTCAGGGCTTAGGGTTCAGGATTTAGGGTTTAGGGTAGGTTATACTTTGAGAGAATTGGGGGTCTCCATCTGTAGAGGGGCATCTATAGGGGTTCGCATTGCGGAGACTCCTGGCAAGATCGCCGGAGGTTGGAGGCGTGCACCATAAAGGGGCCCAGCTGTTTATATGATCTGCACTTGCATACTTGCTGAAGCCTCAAACCTCGAATCGTTTTACTATGTCTCCAACACCTCCTATATCATCCCCACATATCCCCACAACTCCCAGCCAGGGTCTCTGCAACAACTCTGAAAAAGCTCACCTTTGCACAGCCGTTGCGGCGCGGAAGTTCCTGGAACAATTCCTGCATGATAGCTTGCAGGGACCTATAATCCCTTCATAATCTCCACATAGGCCTGGGGGCCCCAAGGAAACCGTTTTAGAAGCTAGCAGTCCTAAACTCTGAACCCCAATCCTTCAACCCCGAACCCAGCATACCCCTGGCGCTTTTGAACGGTCATCCCCTGAAGAGTCTCCCCCTTAAGGGCCATCCCCGTAGGAGAAATTCTCACAAATTGTCAAGGCCGAGCTTACTGCCTTGACTCGAGGGCTTTGAGGCCCGGTAGGGAAGTTGCTCCTGCGTTTGGGTTTAGGGATTGAGGTTTAGGGTTAGGATTAGCGTCTTGGGATGTAGGGTTTTTGGATTTAAGCTTTGGGGTTTAGGATCTAGGACTGCAAACCTAGCATGGTCTCTACTATGCTCAGATAGCTCATTCACATTCGAGCTGCGACCTCATGAGGCAGTTCAAACTCTGGCCCTACTCACGCCCCCCAAATCCTAAGCATCCTGAACTGATAGCTTTAGCCTTAGCTGGCTCCAAACTTTGAGCTCTTCAAAAGTTGCATCTCCGTGTCCACAAGGGATCCGTAATCTTCAGACGCCCGTGGAACTGTTGGACACCCAACCTATTCTCACCTGGAGGATTGATCTTCTCAATGCGGTCAAGGAGGATGTCCGGGATCACCACCAGACATATGCCAGCAGAATCGAGCCTCAGGCGCAAAATGTGGATGCCTGATCAACAATACGGCTCCACGCAGGTTGAGTCCTTGAAGGTACGTTAACAAGGGTCTACAACATGACACAGCGCAAAAGATAGTTGCAGTTCTGTACCAGAATTACGATTTGTCTTTGGAATGCTATGTACTAAGCAATTGGGGAAAATGCTTTCCCCGAGTTGTTTAGTAGTTACGATTTACCTTTGGAATGCTATGACCTGTCATTTATGGTCGTGTACATGACCAGGCTCTATCACATCTGTGAAAGAGTTATCCTAGTCTACTGCGGAGGCTTCTATGCCTCGCTCGGTCTGGGTTATAATATGGGGGCTATATTGGGATAATGGAAAAGAGCATGGAAACTATGTGATATGGGTTAGATAAAGGTTATGCAGGGTGGGATAATGGATAAGAAAATGGAAGCTACTAATTATATTATATGGGCCATATAAAGGTTATATAGGAGTTATTTAGGGATAATGGAGAGAAAATCGAAACTACCGTCCAGGGTTTTGGTAGGATTACTGATATTCATAAGTATATCGAGTCTCGGGATACACCAATAATGGAGAATCCAGTAGGGTTAAAATAGGGGTGTACTATTAAGTACGGTGCCCTCTTTTACGAGCAGCAGCAGTCTGCATCTGGAAAACTTCGGTCTTTGTTGTGATAGGGAAACTGTCATCACTTGACTTGTGTCTGTGGTTTTCCAGTGCTTGGGTCGAGTACCTGCTTGCGTTGTGCACTTCGATAGGTTAGGGATACTCCGGAATGAATCTGTATACGCCGCGCACAGCATCAGGACCCTTGAGGCACCGAAGGGGTGCTTGAACTGCTTGCCTCTCCAGGAGTCATTCTGTGGGCGCTTCCTGGGTGATACAGTGGATTTGAGAACCACGCACATCTTCGATACATTTTCCAGTAGCTCCTGGCTACCACCTGCAGGAAGTTGGGGGTTCCCACGCGGATCCTAATAGTGGGTATTTCGGGTATATGGGTTATTCTCAAAATCGATGGACCTTTTGGTTATAGATAATAGTACGGCACCTAACATCCAGGGGTACCAAAATGGCACCCTAATTTTGGGAACTCCTCAAATAGAGGGTAGATGGAGGGTCAAGGCTGATACCTTAGATTTATAAGAGCTCAGGACACCCTGCTGTTGGTGCACACCCTGCTGCTCACCTTTGCGCTGGCCACGCTGCAGTACTCGGACCAGTTTGTGCCAGTGTCAGGCAGCTTAACCTGAACTGCTTCCACTCTACAGCTGCTTCGGTGGATACTCATAAAACCTGCATGACCCTGAGTATCTTCTACCTTGGGAATGGTAGTAGTGTAGTAAACTGAGGTCATGCAGGATTTTTAGTATCAACAATTGCTCTGGAGCTTGGATTCCAGGATCAAGGTTCTCCAGACGAGAGGATGGTTCTGAAACACACACGGCAACAGCGCAAGCTTACCCCTGCTACTTACAACCAGCCTTGCCTCCGAAAGTGGCCTGATAGCCTTCCCAGCTCCCTAATCATGAATATCAGCATTATGGTATGCTATACACTATTGGGATCATGTAATGGGGCTGGCGGGTGGGTTGTTAGTAGCCGAAGGGATGAAGTTTTTAAAAGGACAAGGGATAATGCCAACCTGCAGGCTGCGTGGAATGCGAAGAGAACGAGCATCCTTGGTTGGTAACCTGTTGGGTGTCGACGCCTCAGACATTGTTTGTCGTTACTACCATTATACCTTTTGTTAATACTATATTATTACGATTATTACTATTACTACTATCATTACTATGATGTTCCACAAGTGTTGTTGGTAACTGTGAATCATGCTGTTTCCAAGGAGCATGAGTAGTTGCAGTGCATGCCTGGTTCATGGATTCATGCAGCTCAGGTACGCCGTTTCCGGCATTTTGATCCTGCCCTTTTGGGGTGCCGCGGCTGCATAGGTTTCCAGTTGAGCAGGCTGCCGGCAAACAGGATGCTGTAGCCCCCCTTTGGGCTGCTTGGCGTAGGCCTTTTTTGCAAGGGTTTATCTGCCATGTGATTTTCTGTGCCATGTCTCTGAGCTGTCAGAGAAGAGGGTCTAGCTGAGGCATTGTTATGCTGCCTGGCTGCAAGGAGGCAGTGCGACTTCACCAGCGTCAGTTGCAAGCCCTCGGCTTTGATAGGTTTTACTGCGTTGCGAAGTACAAGTCATGCCCAATCATACTATGTGCGGGCGCGCAGGCATGTCCCAAATGGGAAGCTGCAAAAAACAGGGTCCCCAACACAACGGAACCCTCGCTGTATGGAAATGTGTTTGAGACCACATTATTCACACCTACCCGCGTTTCAACTGTAGTGCAAGACAGATCTCAGGCTGATTTGGAGCAAGCTCCAGCTGGACCATTGGCTGGAGGACAGATCTCAGAGACCTGCCCTTGCAGTTCAAGTGTCGAAAGTAGGGTATACGTGGACCCCCCAAACGTCGAAATGACACCTCCTCCCCTTTGTGAGAAATCAAGGAGTGGCAGGATGTTTTGATTTTGCGCATCCATCTGCCATGTCAGGATAAACCGGGGCAGGGTTTTCCTTTTCAATACATTTTGAGAGAGGGACAGTATATGCGGCGGTACATACCCTCAAGATCCCTCAAGAGCTTCAATTTTTCTGACATGTAGAAATTTCTCAAGACAATCGCCTACGCGATTTTACGTAGGGCAGTTGCCCCCATGCCAAATCCTTTTGTAGCCCACGTGTATTCAATCATCCTATAGTGCCCAAATTCATTCGGCACTGCACACATCATACCTGCACTTCAAATCGCTGTGATGCAGTCATTTCCAATGCTCCTTAGGCAGCCCAGCATTGCAACAGAACTCGCACAGACTTCTTGCAAAGTTTAGGGTTTACCCCGGCACAACTGTGCAGTTCTCTAAGTAATCCTGGAAGGGTACCCCAAATCCTGTCATAACCACCATAGTTAGTTCCTTTGAGTCCCAGAGGGTACCCCTCCTTCATCACCCCTCCCACAGTACTTGGAGGGTCAATATATCCGCCAGAGAAACCCGACATAAACCCTATATAACCCCATATAAACCCTATATAATCCCTATATAAACCCCATATAATCCCTATATAAACCCCATAAAATCCCTATATAAACCCTATATCTTCCTCACCTCCCCACCGTACGCGCCACAGAACTCCATCGGCCGCCTGAACGTGGAGCTCCGGCTATCCCTCTCGGCAGATTTCAGCAGCCAGGAGTCCCCTGGCTATCAGGATGCTTTTTACATGGGGTTATATAGGGTTTATATAGGGGTTAAAGGGTCTATATGGGGATTATAGGGTTTATATGCGAGTCCCCTGGCTGTAAGGGCTTAGCGAGAACCCTCATTTGGCAGCTTTTATGAGATATAGTGTAAACTTCTTAGAGGGGTTACATAGGGCATTATATAGGGGAGTATTACAGCAGTTACTTAGACTATAGCTCATAGGGGTTTCCCAAGATTAGGGGGTACCATTCTTGGGAGGTCTCGATAGTAAGGATTATTATTGTATTTCGGCTTTTATATCGGGATCCCCTATTTAGGGACGCTACCAGGTCTGCTGTTCATGTATCTGGTCGAGACATTCTCAAGATATCCAGGCGCGTATGTACCCCTTTTGCACACTGAAACCGGCGAGGGCTCATGTGTAGCTGATACTCTCAGTTCTTCAAGAGTGAAGGGATTGGAACTCTAAACCCTAAGCTGGAAACGATTCAACAACAAAGGCGTTGTGGAAGTTTTGTTGTTGGGAAGGCGTGTGATTCTTTGGCAGAGCGGCTCTGGGGCCATTTTGGGCGTGCAGGATCTCTGTCTCATACGTAGTATGATATCGGTAAAGACCTCAAAGTATTCGCCGAAATTCGCCACCAGAGCGAGAACCTCAATTAACCATTGTGAGCCTGGACTGACGTACGAGTAGGGTGATGCTAAGCCCCAAGTGCGCTCAATGAGAAACTTTTCAAAAAAGCGGCAAGAACTCATTCCATGCTCTCCAGCTCCATTGTTATTTTATGCAAGTCCGAGACCGTGCAGCTACCAGCTGAGTTCGCCGTGCTGCAGTTTAAGCCGGTCAGGCCGTTCAACGAAAGCTTCAATGCAGCTGGTACGTCTCCTACCAGGGGTGCTTCTTATACCGCTGACAACAAGAGATAGCATCTCTATAAGCCACATTCAATCCCACTCTCGCGAAGAAGAACTCGCATCAACACCTGAGAGCCCAGGGTGGCAAGCGGAGGGCCCCAGGACCGGGACGGTAGCAGCGCGGCGGCATCTTATTGAGTATCTACGTGAACATATCGGGATCATCAAGGTCAAGCGGTCCTTTGTGGATTAGAGATAATACTTCTTTGAGATTGGCTAGGGATCATCTGGGTCGTTTTACTCGTTGAATCGGAGAAGTAGGAATCGTATCAGGGCGGAAGATGGTGTTTCGCACGGATCCATATATTCTCCATTGGGAGTCTTGTATGGTCAGATGTCGCGGGCCTCGAGATTAGATTGCTGTCTTAGTAAATTTCCGCCTGGAAATTATTTCTGGGACTAGGACCCTGCAAGCTGGCTCAGCACCTACAGTGCTATTGTTCTGCAGAGATCTTAGAACGGCCAATCGAGTTACCAGGTCCCCAGAGAAGCTGTTACCGCTTCAAGGCTATTTCATCTTTGGGTGCAGGGTTTCCCGGGCCAAAGTTCATGTTCAGCCTAGAACAGCCTGAGATTGCAATGTAAGGGCTTGAAAACGCATGCCTCCATGACCCCTCCTCTGTTGGGTGCAGTTCAAAAAGGAGGTACCTCCGGATGGCCCTGAGGTCAGCTCCTCGAAAAGGTGGAGGGCGCCGTGACTCGCCCGGTCCTCACCATCAAGCACCAAATCAAGTGTCCAGGGGTTGAGGGACATGGGGCCAAAAGGCTAGTTTGTTGGGCTGCGGTTTTCAATTGCTCTCTGTTTTAAGGGCGAGCCGGCATTCAATGGGTTGAAGGCAATCGATGTCCACGGTTCTCGAGCTGCTTGTAGGGCCTGTACGTTTGGCTTGGACATTTAGCATGGTGTTTCGTACGAGGACGTTGCTATCTGTCGTTGGCGCCTTTCCGTTGCACGTGCTTGCATGGCGTAGCCAGCAATGGAGCAGAACTTTTGTCGTATAGTCCGCTGATCTTTCGGATGCGCTCCGTTTTTTCGGTCGACTGCATACTCAACCTGCAGTGTGGCAAGACGTGAAGCCGGGTAAATTTTCAACAGGGAAGTCTGCTTTGCAAGGGCTATAGTTGACTGTTGCCGTCCACAATAGCATCGTAGCAATCAACGCATGGTTGCAGAGCAGAGCAGTCAGGGACTGCTTGATGGCCTTCCAGTTCTTGTTGAACATTTTCTGAATTTGGAAGCGATTCGGGCAGTGCATCAATAGCTGGGGCTCATCTATCTTGGAAACAGTAGCCTCAAGTCATAACAGGCGCACACGAGCCTTGAGAGTGATCTCGTTCCGTAGAGCACAAATCCAAATCAAATGAGAGGCAAGCACTCAAAGTTCCAACGGCAGGGTCCCCAACCCTTGCAGAAGCATAGCTTAGGTCTGGGCACTTTCGTGGTTGAGCATCAGGACTGGGGTTTCTGTTGACAGTACGTGATATGGAGTTAGGTCAGGGCTTAGGCGTTTAAGTTTCGGTGTTCAGGGTGTAGGGAATTAGGGTAGGAGCCTGTGTTTCCAAGTGAGACCTTCCCTGTCCAAGCTTCCATGTCGCAAGCGTGCCGCATTTTAGGCCCCTACAGATACACTGGAGATTGTTCTTAAGGTGCTAGAAGCAGGATTCCCTTGTTTAGGTTTCAAGGAAGTTCCAAGGTGTAACTTAAGACATGATGGACCAGTTTTTCAGGCCTTGTAGTTTCGTTAGAGAGAGACTAGGCCACCGTGAGAGCACTGCCTGTGTCCAGGAGAGCTTCAAGCGCGTTTGGAACAAAGAGTGCCGTTTCATGAATCCTGGATGCCTTCAAGCAAAAGGTGTTGTTCGGTAAGCCCAACAACTGGAACAAGGACCCTATGCCTATCACATGACTGGTATTCAAGCACTATTTTATATTCTGTATGCAGGAGATTGTGAATGTCAGTGCTGGACAGACAGGAAGCATGCTTTGTCTAGGCTTCATGTCACCAAAGGTCATTTGTGAAGTGTTAGCGGCTAGAATATGAGAGCAAGGGACAGGCCAGAGTTGGATGGGGTCCTAGGTACCTTGTTGGGGTTCTTATGCAATAGGGTTTAGGGTTGGGGCTATATTGGGATAATGGAAAATAAGCTGGAAGCTACTATAATGGAGTTACATCATCTAGCAGGAAGACCCCTACGTGGAGATGTATTCTGCAGCTGAGGATTTCAGCTGCGACGGTCTTCCTGTGGGTCTCTTGCATCTTAGCCATCCTGATCACCTCGGGCATGCCTCTCGACCTTCCTTAAGGGTTTATGACGCACTGGAGCCCCCAAGAGCTTCCGAACACGTACGGTGATTTTCGGATTGAGGATAGTTCATGATTTGTTATAGACAGAATGTGGCTGAGTGCATTTGGTTTCTCCCCCCGGTGAGTCATCGTAGCCCATCTCAGGACGCCTTTGAGGTCTAGGAGAGCGGCCTGTGTAGACACTGGACGGGGGCTAGACAAGGGCTGCAGAGAAATCTCTTCCATCATAGTTGACCGGAAGCGAAACCTAGTGTTCTCAGAGCTTTGCCCCTAACTACAAGTTTGAGGTCAAACCCAAACAGAGGCCATGTGGAGATTTCCCGAAATCATGAGTACTTTTTTGGGGGGTCCCCATAATCAGGATTATAGTGAATAGTGTTGTGGGGTCTCTTGGGGTCCCCCTGCATGCTGCGACTTGCAGAGCAGAGCTTGGCCCTAGTGGCCATTGAGAATTCAGAGCACCAGCCCGCTGCAGTCTACATGAGCTGTAATTAGTCTAAACTCCTTAAAGGGGGATATATGTATAGTATATATATATATACATACATACATACATACATAGACTATACAGGGTTTAGGATTTAGGGTTTAGGGTCTAAAGTCCGTAAAGGGGGTTATATAGCGGATTATATAAGGGAATATTCTGGGGGTTACTACTGTAGCTCACATATTCGCCTTACCAAGGTTCTGGCTGTTTCTCCAGAACCACATGGCGACTTGGTTCATGTCTTGAGCGCCTGGCAAAAGCTTCTTCAGAAAAATATTTCTTTCGGTTGCCAAGGAGGGGCAGCATCGGCATGCCTCAAGCCACTTCGCTTTGTGTAACTTGGCCTGGCCTTGTATCAGCCAATTGGCATTTTTTTGCTGGAGTTGTGGTCAGCTTTTTGTGTCTCTTGGGTGGTCAGTGAAGTGCCAAATCTTGTTGGGATCGTTTGTCGCTCCACCCTAAACCTCAGGGCCCAAGCAATCATGCTGGTACAGCATATTCGGGGTAGTACAAGATTTAGTCCACCACCAGTATCAGGCGAGTTCAGTCTTGTCCTGCTTTCCTGATCAGTTGGCCTTGTATGAAAAACAGGTCTCTCCATCGTTTCCGTCCCGGTTGGTACGGACACTGGGACGTCCCACAGGCCTCTGGAAGAACAGTGTCAGTATGGTCGCATGTGGCTAGTCCGGGTAGTTCCTACTTCGTTTGTTGTACTCCAAGGTGCGAAGGGCCTGGAAGCATTGCCTATCTCCAGGCCATGCAAATGGCACCTAAAGTCATTGCCCCAATCCGGGTTCCCCGCACACCTGCCTTCCTGCCACCATCCTGCACCCTAAACCCTAAACCCCAATTAACTTGTGAAGGACAAACTTAGACCTTTGACTATCTGGTTGTTCTCAGGCACGCTTAGCGGCCTGCTGGCGCCAGCCGTCTACGGATTTTGGTTCCGGCTCGTCTGCCGGCGCCCAGGACACCTGCTTGTTTCACTTGCACGTGATGCTACTTCTGAGTGGGTTTGACGAACGTTCATTCTGCATCTGAGGTGTGGAACCTAGGGCATCGGTTTGTGCTGATTTCCCTCCCTTGAAGGAAGCCAAGCAAACGGCCATGCGGATGTGTTCGAGGACCGACCAGCTTTCTGGCTGCTTGAGGACATCCTTTTCTGCAAGTTACACAAACACGTCATTGGCATGCAGAGTTGTTTGTTTGATGCTTAGGCTCTCCATCTTCACAGGAAATCTACATTGGATCTGCTGAAGCCTATCTTGGCCGTAGAAGGTATGACCCACAAGAGGAACTGGGGCCGGTTTGGTCAAATCTCTTTGACTTGTCCCGCAGCCATGTGCTTTGTTGAACTTCTTGTACTTTTCATCTCCGGGGCATTGCCAACATGCTGTGCGACGTTTCCTGGCAAGTGTGTCTTGCGGTTCACTATGGTGAGGAACCCAAAACATGTCTATAATATAAATAGATATATATATATATACACATACATATCCCCGTCGCTTGCACATAGGTTTGGAAACCGCACATGGGTCGTAATCCTCTGCATTTCATGCCAAATTGGGTTCTACAATTTGCACTCAAGGCAGCCCAGTGGCAGTTTGCCATAGCTCTTGCGTCGGCCTTCGGGGTTTGGGGTTCAGGGGTTTAGGGGTTAGGGTTTGGGCGTTTAGGGTTTAGGGGTCTAGGGTTTAGGGCCTATGTGAGCTTGTCGCTCCCAAAGATTTCCGACAGAGCTCCAGGGCGCTTCACGAAAGCCTAGAAGAACCCATGGCAAGCCCTGGAAACAAGGACCAGATCAAACCTGTGCTATGAGCTACTATCGATATTCGCATTATCACGGGACTCCTAACAGTGGACATAGGGGTCCCTCTTTTAGTTTAGCA